AGTCGCGGTGGTTAATAAGGGCGGTATTGAGCGATTTCAAAAACTGCAGTATAGTCATTATTTATTGCGGTAATAAATACCGCGATATTCAGCGGTTTCTAAAACCGCGGTGTAACCATCAGTAACAGCGGTGATAAACAATACGGTATTCAATGGTTTATAAAACCGCGGTATAGTCATTAGTAACTGCGGTGGCAAATACCACAGTATTCAGCGGTTTCAGAAACCGCTGTTTGCCATCGAATAATCGTGTTATTTATTACCGCGTTTTTCAGCAGAGAAACCGCGGTATTTTTGATGCTTCAAACCATCGCGATGGAATGTGTAAGGACGAAGAGGATGTCGTGCCCCGCTATTTTCATGAAAATTTTGCATAAGTTTTCTTATTCTATCTCTCACTACAAAGTAACTTTGTGGTAATGGAATTTCTAAAGTTCACTACAGACCCCTTGAAGGGGCGCCCACCTGAACTTCATAAGTTCAGGTGAGTCTGATCATACCTGAATCAGGTATGGTCATCGAAACCGCGTTTTCCAGCGGTTCCATGAAACCGCGAAAGTCAGACCTTTTATTCGGTTTTTTAAAACCACCAAAAACTCCGGTATTGGTACACTGCGGTCATCACCGCTTCAATAAACCGCGAAAGTCAGACCTTTAATGCGGTTTTTTCAGACCGCGGTAATCAATGGTTTTTCGAAACCGCGAAAGTCAGACCTTTTATGCGGCTTTCGATACCGGTGAAAACCGCGGTTCTTGGCCTTTTTCAAAAACCGCATAAAAGGTCTGAGTTTCGCGGTTTCGGAAAACCGTTGATTACCGTAGTTTGTGAAACCGTGGTTTCTCGCGATTGTTGTTCAAAACTTTTTCCGTGGGAAGTCGGATGTTCACAGGATTTACTTTACAAAGTATTTCTTTCTCGTAAATGCGTCATCTCTAAAATGTATTGCTAGAATATTCCCGATATGTTTATCAAATACAAACTAGATTTTAAACTTTCATCAATAGTACCTTAGGATTTATTTGAATGCATCTTTCATTTTCAAAGACAAATTGATCCTCCTACTTATCACAATGTACAAATATCTGATTTTAAATAAATCGAAATTAATGTAAAGTTTTATATTACGAGATATTACTACATACCACTACAAGACGGACGAATTTGGAGCAAATGATCGAATTTTTTCCGCTTTAAACTGTGCCGTTGAATAATATTTTAGTTTGTATAATTGTCAAATTTGTTTTTTGATAATGGTTCGTTTAATATATCGTCAAAGGAATTGAAACTCGAGTTTTTTTTTCTTCCTAATGTCTCTTTTTCAATATCTGTTAAAGTCACGTTTTACGGCAAGCGACTAGTTTAATATGAAATATTTACGATAGAAAGAGAATAATGAGTCATAACAAATGTAAAAACGATTACTCAATGTTCTACGCAAATGCGCCGTTAATATGTTCTCAGTATTAATAGGACATGACGACACCTATTACACTGACTCTATCCATGTCGTTCTCCATATCGGAATGTTCATACTGATGTTTGGTTATCATGACGGATTTTGAAGCGGTCAACTTTGTCAAAAATAAGTGTTTAACGAGCAGGTTCTTTGTGGAGGTGTTTCATTAGGCACTCCCAAGCACCCCCTGTGGATCTTGTTCTCTGTACTCAGATAGTTCAGGCTCTTTGACTCAACTGAACCTTCGAGCTGCCATCCTGATTTGCTATTTTCATGTGAGTAGGAAAATTATAAAATATCTGCCGACACGATTAGTGTCGATATTCTAGGTGTCACTATATTACACTAATGCCTATGTTCACGTTAATATGAAAAGTTTTTCAACATTCTTAATTCCCGATAAGATCATATGACAAGCTTTAGCTATTTTATTAGTGGAAAGGGACAAATTCATTTCGGAGATCGAGAGAATAGTTGATAGACATAAAATTTGAATAATCTCTGTAAATTAAGACAAGTTGATTAAAGCTAAACCGAAATAAAACTATACTCTTCTGACAAATCTAGGAGTCTCAATTTATATTTACCTTTAATTTAATTTACGCGGAAATTAAATGATAAGTAATTTATATTTATTATAAATGTAAATTATTTTGTTGCAAGATTTACATTTACAAATAAATGGAAATTATCATAATTTCCATTTATTCGTAAATGTAAATTGTGACAATTTACATTTATTCGTAAATATAAATTACGACAATTTACATTTATTCGTAAATGTAAATCTTGCAACAAAATAATTTACATTTATAATAAATATAAATTACTTGTCATTTATATTTATTTTAAATATAATTTTTTTTGCTTTTCTTAATTTATCGAATGTAAATTAATATAAATTGACATATTTTTGTATGACAATTTCGGTAAGAAGCACTCTAGTCTTAATATTACTTTCTTTTTGGCAAGTCGTGTATAAATCAATTAGGTTTGTTTATTTTTAAAGAACTATTCTTAACATATTTTTTTCGTGGATTCCGTTTCAATTAAATTCTTATGTCAACGGCAAGATTCATGACGTTTGAGAAAAGTGTATTCGCTCGCTATGTAAATGAAAATTAATCAGTTTCTTTTTTTTCTTTCTATTTTTGAATAATCTAGGTTCCAACGAGTTTGTGATACACGAGGAAAAAAATAAGGAGATGATACTATTGACGTTCAATGTGATAAAAAGCTCGTTAGACTATAGAATCGTCTCTATTTTCTTCCTAGCCAGCCAGAGAAAAATAAAATAAAAAATATCCATTACATCGTTTTCATTTCTCTCTGTTCAATTCGTTGTTTGAAATTTTCAAATAAACTTATAATTCTCATACTACAAGCATTTATTTATTTGATTTCAATGTCATCTTTGTCATTTCGACCATCAAAAAGTTCAAAAAAATCTGTATCATCGACTGTAGAGATTATGCGAGTTGATCAATCTTTTAATGCTCGGCAGTCAAGAAAGAGTCCAAAGGATGCTTCTACTCCTGATATTAAAAATGGGGGTATATCTCGACGAAGATCTGTTCCAAGTTCTCGTCATTCAAGAAACTTACAAATACAATCAAAAGTAGTAAAATCACAAAGATCAACAAGTAATTCAGGTCAACATGAAATAGGAATTAACAATGAAGATGATAATGTAGACCAATATATTGATCTGTTAAATATTTCATCTACATCAACAGCCACAGAAAATATGGAAACATCTCAACAACCTGCTGATTAGGCATGCACCGAACCCGAACTCGAGTTCGGAGTTTGGACCGAACGGTTCGGGGTTCGAGTTCGGGTTCGGATTCGGATTCGGATTCGTGTTCGGTCTTAGGGTTCGGTGCAAGGGTGTGGGTGTGGGTGTG